CTTGAGGCGGAAGCCCAGAAGCCAGATGACACTTCCATTTCCCAAAACACCCAGCAGGCAGATTATGGCAACAAAAACGTTGATAAAAATGTGTGTTAGTAAATCAAAGGGAAGCTCATCTAGGATGTTAAATGAATGCTCAATTTCAGTACTCTCACTTATTTGAGAATCAGGAAGGAGGCTCATTTCTTCATCCCCAGAAAAAGCAGCATCATGTTCTTCAATTTTAACCAATGCTGTTTTTTTAGCACGTTCATATATAGTCCTGTTAGAGAGAGATTGAGATGGATGGATCAGTCATAGATATGTTACAAGACAGACAATACGGCCAAAGTTTCAATTCCCCAGGTATCCAGATGGCTGTACTGCTTTTTGTATAACTTATTGAGTGATATATTATCAATAATAGTAACAGTAGTAGTAGCAGTAATGTTGTCCTTATTTCTGTAATGCGCCATCGCTGAAGTTACATATGGAAGCAAAATGATACAATTGAGTATGAATGTCATAATTTCAAAGCAGGATTAAAACAATTGTTAAGCAGTTAAAATATACTGCAAATAGAGCCGTATAATCACTGCCGAACATCCTAATGCTGGGAACGATTGAAGGCCAAAGGACAAGGGGACAGTAGAGGTTGAGGTGGCTGGATGGGGTCAGAGGGGGGTGGTTGTGGGCTTGGGTGGACTCCAATGGATGGTGGAGGACAGGAGAGCCTGGAGGAATGTTGTCTATGTTGTCGTGAAGAATAATAAAAGAAACATAGAAACCAAGTGAGTCAGAACTCTTGTCTGACCCCTGGCTCCAGCCGGCTCCGCTCATGACATGCCCACCATGTGCATGTCCAGCCTGTCCTTGAACACCCTCACCAATGGGGCCTCAACCACCTCCCGAGGAAGCCCATTCCATGCCCTTGGGGACCTAACTGTCAGGGAGTATTTCCTGGCATCCGTGCCTAATAATAGTATGAAAGCTACCATTCTCCTTTTGTTTGCATTATCCAGGTAAGTTCTCATTCTGGCACTTTGCAGTTCTAACTATACCAGGATTTGCAAACTGTTCCATGGC